CTGCTCCTAAATTGGTAGCCAAGCAAGTGCATAACTGTAGAAAGAGCAGGTTGCCAGAGGCCGTAGGTCCACTGCATGGTCCCGTTCCCAACCGTGAGTTCCCCCCAGATGCTTAGCTGGAGTCTAAGCCCCGGGGACTTTAAGAGGTCTTATTGCTTTCATCCTCATTAGTGCTGTTGTTTTGGTAACTACAGAAATTAATCATGCTTACTTGGATACTTTGGAAAATAGAGAGGGAAAAGCAGGGACAGAGTTGTCCCTTGAGTCATGAGATAATGTGTTGACCTTTTTACTGTCTTTGTAAATGAAGTGTGTGTGTCGAATATAGCACAACATGAGACATTTTCCAAGTTAGTAATTGAGTTGCAAACATGGCATTTTCTGTGCAGATTACTTGCCCGATCTGCCATGTGTCCCACTATGTAGGTGGACTACAGTTTCACACGTTTACAAACATACCCATGGTCATACCCTGTGCCCATTCATTTTCTCTCTTTTGTTAGTACATGCTTGTAATGCACCTTCCTCTTGGCGAACTGGTACATATACGTGACATAGCTTGATTCTTTCATTTTCTGTTTCCCCTCTCTTCCCTCTGCCCTCCCTCCCTCTTTTGGCACCTTTCCTTATTGCAAAAGATGGGTCTCCCCATTTCCTATGACCTCTTTTTTATTTTTCTCTTTGTTTATATTTTGGGTTTCTCACTTAAGAGAGACCATGCGATGTTAAAGCCTGTGTGTCTGAGTCATTTCATTTAACATCCTGGTCTCAAAATGCATCCATTTTCCTACAGATTTCTCCAGTTTATCTTTCCTTAAAACAAAGTAGTGCTCCACTGTTTATAAATACCCTATTTTCTTTATCTCTTCATTTGGTGATGGACATATAGGCTTCTTCCAAGATTCAGCTATTATGAACTGTGCCACTGTAAACATGGATGTGCATGTATTATACAATGTGTAGCCAACAGAAACATAACACATCAATAAAATAAAGTGTTCAATTCTTCATATGTATTGCACGTATTAGAATAAACATCACCAGTTTCACATCAGCTGTGTACTTGCTTACAAAACCTAAAAGACAACATCAGCAATAAATTTCTATGTGAACTACAATGTAAGGGCAAACAAGTCTGTAACAATCATAATCATTGCTTCATTTGTCAGACCCAAAGCAGTGTTCACACATGACAACTGCATATTCCATGCACACATCTTGCTCACACTAACAACACAAGTGCTTAGCTTTCCTTTCCTGTGGAGGAAGCCATTCTTGTCACCTCTCTTCTCTTCCTGTTTTGTCAGGAGCTGCCTACTATACTGTACAGTTTTCACTTAGCAGGAAAATAAGATATCAGTAAAATAAAAAAATATCAAATATGTAATGAGGGCTTAGGATAGACATCAGTATTTTCATATCAGCTGTTTACTTGTTTAGAAAACCTAAAAGGTAACATCAGAAATAAAAACCTATGTGAACTACAATGTATGCAAATGAAAGTCTACCACAGAAATAATCTTTGCTTGAGCTGTCACGCCCAGGGCAGTTTTCACCCAAGAAAACTGAATGTTCCATACACATTGGTTACACTGTATTGTTTACAAGTATTGATTACACTGAAGAGAATATCCAAGTTCTTTGCACTGTGGGTTGGAATTTTACTTTTAAAAATTAGAATAGATATTCCTTAATAATGATTCAGAAGGATCATTTAGAGTCTTTTAGGATGAGTATAACTGAGTTTTTTTACAAGGGGTAACTTCCAGGGCGTAAATGCTGACGAGTAAGTGATGCTGTGTTTTACACGTTTAGGTTCTTTATAAAGGGATATTTATTAATATAGATATTATTTCGGCTCATCTATTTTATTTCTTCCCAGAAGTACTGCTTCCACCATTTCCTCCCTTTATGTTCCTCTTCCCACATGTCTTCCTTTTCGTTCCTAATTATCTGTGCTCTGACAATAAAGTTCCCCGTACTTTCCACGGTCCTGCTGTTGTTCCTGGCTGCGAGTTTTTATGACCCTACTTGGCGTATTTCTTCCTGGCTTTATAAGAGGTCACCAGAAGTACAGAAGACGCCAGTGCTGATCCCGTAGTAACCGGGGCCGATGTAGCCTTCCGTGTTCACACACCTTAGTTCGTGTGGCGTGGGCGTCTGCACTTCCAGCTTGTGTGTTTGTATTTGAAAACTCCATCCAAGTTGATCTGGTTTGAACACAGGATATGAAACCCATGCAGGCATTCTAAAATACTACCTGTAACTTTCAGAAACGATCATGCCGTGATTCCCCATGGCTATTCAACAAACATTTGCTGCAGACCTACTGTGCGCTGGGTCCAGCATACAGGGCCAAAGATGAAAAGACAGAGAAACTCAGGGTCCCACCTCAGTGTAGGGGTGAACTACATCATAATCTTTATCCACCCACACAAAGGTCTGTGGCGCTATCACTAGCCAGTTGTCTCCCCAGGGAAAGTTACCTCTCCAGCCCAATCTCATGGTTGTCCAGCTGAGCCCCTTTCCTTGGTTCTCCTCAGTACCTGTTAGCTGTGAAATCGTCCGTCCGTAATGATTGTGATTGTGCTTCAGACTGAGTTATCGCTGCTTGAATCCTCACTGCAGTTGATGATAGATAGGGAACAGTCTTATTGGTAGAGCTTAGCGGCTTCTGTCTCAAATTAAAATTTTTGAACCTCCAGTGATATCTGCCCTTGTTTTCCTCACTGTTTCACTCATCTGGTGTTCATAAATCTTCACTCTCGATATGAATGTTTGGCTCACCGTTAGGTAAAATATTTCATTTACCTTAGCCAAAGCCAAGCATGGCACAGCTTGGGAATACTTAAGGGGCTCCACCTTCTTCCCGCATATTGAGACCCTCTGTACGTTTTTCTTTTGTTTGTTTGTTTGTTTGCTTGCTCGTTCGTTCGTTCTTGGAGGAGGAGTTGTTTCTGGCACCCTTGGGGTGGTTAGGCTGTAACAGTGTCCGCACAGCCCGAGCATGTACTGTGACAGGGCCGTGACTGCAGCGGCAGCCTCCTAGCTGTCCCGTCTCTGGGACCCAGTCTGTTCCAGCTTCTCCAGGCCTAATTTCTGCTTGTAATCTGATTAAGGGGTTTGATTTGTTCCAGCCTGCAGCCTTTTCCTTTGCATTTACCATGCATTCAAGGACACAAGTGCCTGGTCGCTCTCGCCCGGCGCTCTGAACAATCTCAACCCAGTTTTGCTTAGACCGGCCCAAGGTCGTTGCTGGTTGAGCATTAGCTGTAGTTGTTTCCAAACCTTGTGCAACCATGTTCAGAAGCCCAGGAATTTCCAGCTATTTGGGAGCTTTCAAGTTCTCTGAGAAACAAGGTAAGGCAAGAGAAATACCAAATGCGCCTCCGTGTTCATTTTGTAGCATATTTGCCTTGCATCCTGCATTTACCCTGTTTTTTCAGGTGCCCGGTTAGTGATACGGTCTTCTCAAGGGATACTTTAAATATCTAGTTGAGTTTATAAATGAGCTTCTCTTGTAATTGCTGAAAATGTACATTTTTCTATGAGTGAGTTAGAGATACTGCTGACCCAGTAAAGTTTTTATATAGGAAAAATTGCAAATTAAATTGGAATGCCAGACTTTGGATCAAATTCTGGATGTGCTGCACTGTAGCCAAGATATTTTTCTAAACCAAATGCTGTCTGTACTAAATTATATCCCGTAGGCAGTGGTGAGTGAGTCTCTTTTTATTAACTCTTCATGTGAGACAGTTTGGAACAAAATATTGTCTTTTCAATGGCTTCCTTTCCAGCACAGAGGAAGATAGATGCTTTCAGTTTAATTACTGAAGTGGTATTGCCTACCCAGTGTTTGAACAAAAATAAAACGCTGAGGGTATTTTCAATGTCTGATTTAAAACTCAACCACTAAGTATCAAAAATATGGTATGGCACAGATTCATTATTAAGAAGGAACTGGAAAACTCCGGTCTCTGATTTAGGAACTTTCTCCTTTACTATTTGATAGCTTTGTGAACTGAATTCTCTTTCTTTAAATAGTTAGCGGGATGCTTGTATGATTAGAAGAAAATCCTAGCTGTTTCATTGGCATTGTACCTTGTATTTTTCTATCTCTGTAGCTGATCAGAATTTCCAAATTCCAGGATTAAGGATGTGTTTCAGTGATGGCTAATGAATGCCAGCTCTTGGTATATTTTCTTCCTCTTATTCCTCAGGCTTCTGCCCCGAAATATTAAATAGTAAAAGGTACTTCCTCAGGCGAAGAAGTTTCAGTAAGAAATCTGCTTGTGGTTTTGGGGGTGGACAAATGGTTCCTACCCCAGAAGCTGTAAAACAGATTCCTTGCCATTAGACCGGTTGTAAATTTTATCTCTGCCTGGTTTTGATTATCCGGTTCACTCAGGGTATGTGTTTTTCTTGTATGGAATTGTTATCAGCTGTTGTTACATAATATATCTTATCTTCAGAAATAAAGGCGTGGTCATTCTGATGTGCTGTTGTTTAGCTTTTAATGAAAACAGTGAAAGCACAGCTGATGTGTCTCTTGTTCTCCACCCCACTCCCACTTTTAAAGACATCTCAAATCATATCAGGCAGATTATTTTCAATATTTCTGGTTACCTTGACCAAAATGGTTACTTTCTCCCTTGTTTTGTTTTCCTGAAGTATATATCTGTGTTATCTGGCATTTATTCTTGTAACCGTGACAAAGTTAAATGACAGCATTGAACTGTGTCTGAATGTCTCTGAACCTATGAAGTGTGTGGACTACTCTTCAGAAAAGAAAAACAAAACATTTGCCTGTGTAGAATTTATAAACGTTATTTCGTTCCTAGAATTTGTCATTTTTGCATTCTCATCTCTTGCCTGGTTAATGGTTTTCTTTTTTCTTAAATTTTATGTTCAAAGGGAGTTTGAAGAATGTTTTCCCATTGGATTTTTTTTTTAAGTTACTGCGTAGCTATTTTAATGTTACATTATTTCTTTTCTCTTAGATTTCAACAAGAAAAATTTAAGCTTCATTGGATTCCCACATCAAAGAAAACTTCCAAGGTAAAGTGGCCTTTGTTCAAGGAATATTAAGTTTTGGAGATTTGTAGTAGGTTTAAAAATGATTCCCCTACATTTCTTTCTCCCCTCAAGCAGTGCTGGGGGTCAAGCCCAGGGCCGTGCCCGTGCTGGGCCCTTGCTTTCCACTGAGCCACACCCCCAGCCGCAGACTCTTAAATTCCTGATTCATGAATGTAAGTGTTTGGCAGTGTGTTTTCTCCCCCAAAGTTTTAGTCACTGAAATATATAAAGCAGTGGCTGGAGATGTAAGTCATAGAGGATTGTAGTTCCCTAGCATGTGTAAGGCCCTAGGTTTGTTCCCTAACACTTCCTGTGTGTATATATCTATATCTATCTATCTATATATATATATCACACACACACACACACACACACACACACATTATGAAGCAAGTTGACTTAAAGACTGTCTTTGTAGTTAATGCCATTCATGAGAACTAGTGGAGGACTAGAATGTTTATACTGCGTTGAAACTCATTACAGACTTATAAAGGATGCAGTCTTCTCTTCCTCCCACCAACCTCTAAGCTTGGCATATGCTCCTGTAGTCTGTCCACCAGGTAAGGGAGCTTCTGATTTTCCGAAAGGGCTTAGCTTTGTCCCACCTGCCTCTCTTTCCCTCTCAGCCGGTCTTCCTCCCGCACGTCCGCCTTCCTTCCCTCCCTCCTGCCTGGGTCCGCCCATCTATCCCTGTGGGTTCTTGTCGGTGGTCTCAGCTTCTGTCTCTCTCCTCCCCGTACGACTTCGAGCGCCTGTGCCTGCGGGATAGCAGAGGCGCTAAGGCCCCAGCTTCTCATGCTGGCCGTGAGACGGTGTCCGAGTGAGAGTGTGCTGGAGAGCTGCTTCCCTGTGGACCGCTGTCACTGTCACAGCTGGTGTCTTCCTGCGGAGACACAGAGTCACCCCCGCCACACGCAGGCCTGGATCTCAACCTAAAACTCACCGCACTGGAGTGACTAAGCCCCCGACCTGCCCTTCGTTCCCTGCGGATGCTCGTGTTCCTAATGTGCTGACACACTGTCGCGCACTAAAGGGCTCGCATTTCCTCTGCTTCGGAGGACGCAGCGGTCTAACTCCTGTGCTGCTCGGGCAGAGCCTAGCTCTACGTTGATCTTATGAATATGTGAGATAGGACAGATCCTTGGTGTGTTGCATGCACAGGTAAACGTAAGATAAATTAAGAGTGATAATGACCTAGGTGACCGGCAAGGTTGTCATTCACCAAAAGAGGAATGCAGACCCATTTCACGTCTAGGCACGGTTTAAACAGAACCTGCAGCATACTTCGTAGTATGTCTCTAGCAGCTTGTCCAGTGGTAGTAGAGCTAATAAGTGACTAAGAGAAATAAAAGGGAATCAGGGAAGTATTGCATATCTAAGGATAGGAAAAGCACAAAAGGTGAACAGTTCAATGGACAGTGACTGAAAGGGACACGTCAGTCCTAACACCATGGCTATTATTCTTATGGACCTATTTATAGGTTCTTGTGGACCCATGCAAACTATAGCCTCTGGCCACCTTCCTAAAGTTATAATATGCAGGAAGCCTAAGAACCTGCTTCTGGGAAAGGAATCTAGTCCTCCAGACCCAGAGAGATGAAAATGTGAAGTCATGGGATTTCACCTCCCTCGTCTTACAAGTCACACTCCAGTAGTGGAGCGAACAGATTGTAGGGTAGCATTCCACCGTGCGCGTGCCTGGGAGTGTAACGATAGTTTCATCCATGCTGTAAAGAACAGACAGTAGCAGCAGAGCATTCTGCACTCCCTTTAATAAAATTCCCCTTTGTTGCTACTTCTAGGCATTTAAGTAGGTTAATGGGACACATTTTAAAAAAGGAAAGAAAGCAAGCACCCTGGAAGCAGAGGGCAAGTTCTTTTCAGATGATTGAAGCAGAGGAAGGAAGGTTACGTTAAAATCTGAGTCATAAAGAATGAGTGCTGGAGATATAGTTGGATAAAAATACAAAATATTTCTTGACATTCATTTTTAAATTATAGTGCAGAAGGGAATTTGTATTAATGAGTTACAAAAGGAGAGATGGTTTCATGCTGGAATTCAGGCTCGTAACTTTTGGTTGAGCTGAGGCAGCACACCCAGGCCCTCAGGGGTTGTCCTTCCAGGGAGCCTCGTCCCAGAGATGGGAAGGGGGACCCTAGGAAGGGCACGGCCCTGCGTCAGAACTCAGGGGTGGAGTTTGCAACCCGGTGAGCTGGGCATGGGCTCCCCTCTGGCACCTCCGGTGACTTAGGAAAGGGGTATCTCATCCCCTATGGGTGACACAAGGAGTTACTAACTGGTGAGTTAGCCCCCAAGCCAGGTCCATGCTTTGGGCCCGTGGTGAGGGCAGCATTCCTTCCTGGGGTGTCTTGCCTGTATGTTCACTGCTGCTCAGTGTCCTCCCCTCTAGAAAGTCCAAGACATGTGATACTTGCTAAGAGCCCAGTGTCTTGTGTGGAGTTAGGGGGTCCTGCATTAATCGCAGTTTTGGGGACCCTCTCGAACCAGGTCAGCTCGTCCTTCCTGTCTGCCCATCCGCTTCCTCAGAAGTTGTCAGGCCCCTGGCGGGAGTAAGGGAGAGAGGGAAGAGGCACAGGACAAAATGTCGACAGCCTCCTGGATTCTAGCTGGCACGAGCGGAGCTGTGGATTTTAAGAGAGATTACTCTGTATGCAATTATGCTAACATTTCATAGGTGTGTTAATGTAAGGTGAGCAATTGTAAAAAGGATAGAATAACAATTATATGTTATTCTAAAGGTGAGGAAGAGTATGAAATGCTAACATTTCATAGGTGTGTTAATGTTAAGGTGAGCAAATGTAAAAAGGGAAGGGAAGGGAAGGAATGGGAAGAGAAGGGAAGGGAAACGAAGGGAAGGGAGGGGAGGGGAGGGGAGGGGAGGGAAGCTTCGTTATAACTGATGTTACTGAATACATGCCCTTCTAATTATTCTCAATATTTGTGAGTTTTTGCCCCTGGCTATCATATTAACAGTGTATAAAGCCTATGCATAAAATGCTTTGGGGCCAATTATAGTGTACATTCGGAGTATTTCATAGCAGTCAGTCATTCATTTAGCATGTCTTTATTGGTGTTTCTCAGGCTGGGATGGAACTCAGTGGTAAGGCATGTGCATAACATGTGAGAGGGCCTAGGTCTGACTCCCTGCACCGCAAAATAATGCTTTATCAAAATATTTAGTTTAGCGATGAAACGCTCAATTAAAAATAACATGCCATTCCTTAGTAGAGTACATTTCTGCAGTTCTTTTTTAGATTTATACTAAGTCATGCGTCTGAATAAAACCCAAAGTAGCCCTCACTGCCCAGCGACTCGCTATGCAGATGCTGGTGCTAATGCTCCAGTTTCTGAGTGAGCAGGCGCCCTAGGATCTTCAAGCCAATCTAGCTTTGGCGTCATGACGTTTAGTCGTCCTCAGTACTTTAGCAGGCACATAATAAATATTTGTATTCGTAAAGCTTCACTGCATTAGTACAGGGGCTAAGATGTCAGATGGGCTTGGTTCTGCCCAGGGCGGTAGTGTGTGATGTTTGGAGGTGTTTGGAAGTGGCTTCAAACTTAATTTGTGCATGGGGCGTGGCTTATTCTTGTGGCCACTGAGGCAGTATGCGCAAGTGTGCAGCAACTTCCTCCATCTCTCTTCGGACTCCCGGGAAGCATAACACCCCCATACACACACACGTGTACACACACACACACACACAGACACACACACACACACACACACACGGACGCACAAACAGAGGCACAGGTCCAGGGGTGTATAGTCAGCTTCACAGCACTGCCACAAAATCCCTGGCACAAGCCATGTACGAGGTAAAGAGAGGCTTACTGTGGCTTATGGTTCTGAAGCCCCCGAGCCAGGTCCATGCTTTGGGCCCGTGGTGAGGGCAGCGTGTGCTGGCAGGACCACGCAGCAGAGCAAGCTGAAGAGAGAGAAGGGTCCCACAGACTCCTTCAAGGGTGCACCTCAGTCACCTGAGGACCTCCTGCGAGGATCACCTCCTGAAGTCCACAGCCGCTCTCAGCAGCCCCACCCTAGGCACTGAGCCTTTACATATGGACCTTGGGGACCCCATCCAACCTCGGCAGAGAGGAAGCCAGTTTCATAGGAAAGGCACCTTCGGGCCTATTATTTTCTTTCTGGAAGTAACTGGTGCTGGGCAATAGTGACTTCCTCTTCTCCTGGGTTCATTTTCTTCCTTCAAGGCAGCAGGCTCCTAAGATCCGGGTACTGTGCATCCGGGGGTCTCAGGGCCAGCTGCACACTGGAGCAGGAGCTGGATTCGAGTCTCATCTCCCCCTCCTGTCCTGTGTCCCTGGGCTGTCCTGTAAGGTTGGAGATGAGCTGCCGCCGGCTCACACCCTGCTGTCTCCTGTGCATGCCTGTCTCCCAGCTCGGAGCTGAGTGCGCCCTGAAGGACTGTGAAGAAGTCGGCCGTGGTGGGAGTATTCACACCACCAGCCACGACTGCGAAGCAGCTGCTTTTTGCATGACCGAAAGGGCAGGCCAGTTGTAAAACATCTGAATCGGGCCTCTCGTAGGGCCTGTGGAGATGGTGGAGGTCACACCAGAAGATGCTTCGCAGAGGGAGAAAGTACACAAGACACGCTCGACTCCTTTATTATTCTCCTTTACATTTCCTCTTTTATTCCAAGGCCAGCCTTCTGACCTTTCATACTGCTCAACTCTACTTTGATTTCTTGGCTCTTTGAAGGCATGTGCTACTTTAATATAACTTTAATACTAGAACACAGCATAGAGATCACCTCAACAAGTTGCTGGCCTCCTGAGGAAGACACGGCAGTGCAGAGAGGTTGAGCAGTTCATCCACACTTACACAGCGGTTCTGGGGTCTAGGGCAGGTTGTCCTTCTGAACACAGAGCTAAGCCTCCTAGGACCCCATTCCCCTGCAGCCCCTGCTCTGCCAATCTGATGTAATTGCTTAACTGCACAAAAATCATAATCATATACAGTAACTGGAAACAGTCACTTATATACTTCCCCAAATTAAACTGTGTGCTCCTACGTACGTGCGGGTATTTATGTGAAACAAGGACGTTTTTTACTTTCTGCCCTTTCCCCCTTGTTACACTATACCTTGATTTAAGTTGAGTTTTAACACTTTATTCATGGCATGACTTTCAGCTTTCAGAAAGAGTTCTTACTTGAGAATAAAGAACAACTTGCTAACCACAGAAGAGGACCCGATGCTAAGCCGGTACCTGCACTTCCAAAAGGTGAGATTTTCCTGCACTGGGAACCAGTGTCAGCACATGTGAGGGACCGCGTGTGTGAGTGTGTGCGAGGGCGCCTGTCCACACCCTCCCGTGCGGTGTCTCTTGTGACCCTTTCTGCCTGTCCCGGAACGAGCTTTGCTTAATGTCCTGTGCTCTTGCGTTTGAACCCTCAGCTTTCCACTTGTTCTTCCCCTTCACTTCTGGAAATCCTCAGGCTGTCGGTGAAGGCAGGGTCAACAGGAAGAGAACAAAGTCAGCTTTCACTCCTCTGGCTCTTAAGTTTAACCTGCTCCGAAGGCCCTGAGCCTCCCCCACACTGGGCCCGCCCCCACTCCCGTCTCCGCAGGGCTGCTCCCACTTCCCCTTGCTGGTACCAAAGTCAGGGAATTCCACCTAATACCGCCTTCTGCGCTGCAAAGGGCTGGTGCACACTGCGTCCTGAGCCTTTCTTCTTCCCTGGGGTTACTCCCGTGTGTTTGGTAATTACTGCTTCCACTGGGAAGAGGTGCACGCCACGAAATCTTTGCAGCTGCTGTAGCCCGAGTCCCTCTAGTTTTGCCTCTGAAATAATGCAAACATTGCTTGAATTTTCCCCCCACTGACTGCAGCACCGGCACAAAGGGTGATCACTTAGTAGCAGCTTGCAGAATATCCTCATCCCCGCAGATTGATGGAAAGGAAGATATTTTTTTCTCTATTTCAAAAGGGGAAAAAAAGAATCAAGCCCAAAAGAAATTAGATGTGAAAAAATATTCTTTTAATAGAAACTAAATCCAGTTTAAAAGGTGCGCTGAGGAATCGGAATTCACCCTGCTGGGTGCCACACTGAGACAGTCTGATAAGTCGGAGCTTTGAAGTATTCCAGGGGTTTGGTCCGCTGAAGGGCCCTAAGTTCCTGTAAAGGGACATGTTTGCATTTTCAAGTCCTGAAAAAACTGTCAGATAAAACACAGGCTTATTCTTTGTTGCCAGAGGCCAAGAAGTAAGAAGAAAGATGCAGAATCGTAAGGAGATAGATGAGATTTCATCTGAGAACAAAAGCCCTGATAGCTCATGGCACCATAGTCCCCGCTCTCTGTAGGATGTACCTCCAGGACCCCCAGTGGACAGCTGAAACCCGCTAGCCCTGTGCCCTATGCCGCCTGTGTTTTTTCCTGCGCCTATGCTACCTACAATGATATTATTTATAAACTAGACATAGTAAAACATTAACGACGGATGATAAAACACAACAATTCTAACAATATACTCTGATAAAAGTTGTGTGAATGTGGTTTCTTTTTCTCTCTCTGTTGATAGAGTTGAGAAAATAGTAATACTTTCAGACCATAGTTGTCTGGTGGAAACTGGAACCAGGGAAAGCGAAGCTGCAGATAAACAGGGACTCCCATACCAGGAAGGGAACGGACCGCACTGGGGCCTGGCCAGGCCTTGCCGAGTGTGGCAGGGGAGGCGCGTGCCGTGGGTTCAGGGCGGGGCGGATGCTGGAGGTTCGCACCTGGGTGCGTGCGTGGAGCAGGTGTGCGGTGGAGTGCTGCTTCAGACGGTCACGGTTCCCCAGAACAGACAGAAGCCCAGTTTAACGCAAGGCAGACTCCAGTGTGTAAAGGCTATAACTGCGGTCAAAACAGAGTTTGAAGATGAACAAAGTGATTTTAGCCATGGCGGAAAAGAGTGGGCTGACTAGGTGCAGCTTTGTGTACCAGAAGCATCCCTGTTTCCCCTTCTCTACCTACTCCTTTAAAAGTAAATAAACAGCCAGGGACATAGCTCAGCACAGCACCTCCCTGGCAAGAGTGAAGTTGTGAGTTCAATTCCTGGTACATACAATAAATATAAATGAATAAATACACAGTGCCATAGAAAATATCACATTCAGAAAAAGAAAAAACAGTATGAGATGCTAAGTTCCTTAAGACTCATCATATTGTAACTTCATACATAACAAAATTTAAAGACAGAAGTTTTTAAACCAGATTTAACATAAAATGTATCATAATTGAGTATAAAAATAGAACTGACACAAACCAAAAAATGCTGATTTTATGTATCAAACAGATTTATGTTTGTGAGTTAACAAGGCTTTAAGTTTTAAATCTTTTTTTCTGCTTCAGAGCTGAAGGTTGAACCCAGGACCGTCTCACTGAGCTACTTCCCCTAACCTTTTCAGTCTGAGAGAGTCTCGCTAAGTCACTAAGTTCCCAGGCTGAGTTTTAGCTTGTGACCCTCCTGCCTCAGCCTCCCAGCGTGTTGGGATTATAACGGTGTGCCCTCACACCTGTCAAGGCTTTATGTCTTTAAAGCATGTTTTCAAAGTGCCCGTGCCCCTCCTCTGACCTTCGCCGCAGTTTTCCGCAGCCTGGCAGTATTGTAGCCTTCGCTCTCTGACTGTGATCAGCACATCTGGAAATAACCGGGAGTTACCACCGTCTCTGGTTCTGCGTCTTCACAGATACCTTAATGATTTTATCTACAGACCTGTAGCAATGCGTGTTAAAAGGAACTGACTATGCTGCTGTTACCGTGACACAGGCTTTTCTGCGTGTGCAGCGGGTCCTTTCTGTTCATGTAGGGGGAGATCGCTGCTCCTGTGACCTTAAAAGTCATTCTTTCCACGCCCCTTGAGGACGTCTCATAACTGTGTATCACAAACGAGAAAACAAGGGATTCAAAATCTTCACCTGTGTAAAGTTAGAACAGCAAGGTAGATTTCCCATTTGGGGATGAATGCGCTGAGCCGGGGACAGTGACATGCACCTGTCCTCCCAGCTATTTGGGAGGCTGAGGCAGGAAGGTCTCTAAAGCTGAGGAGTTTGAGACTGACCTGGGCAGCACTGTGAGACCCCATTTCAAAACATGAAATAATAATAATTCATGAAGTGAGCCAAGTGCATTACTTTCTTTAGCCAGTGTTATTATGATATGCCATACAGTTCAACAAGGGAAAGTGTCCAAGTCACTGACTTTTTGTATATTCACAGAGCTGTACATTCATCTCCACACTCAGTTTTAGAACATTTTCATTATCCATAAAGAATCCCCGACCCTTCAGCTAGTTCCTCTTCCTCTTATGCCCCTAGTTCGTAATTAGTTATTTTATTCGCTGCTTGTCTCTGTGTGAATGGCTGCTGTCCCAGTGTGAAAATTAAAGCACATTACTCCCCTGGGCAGAAGACCTGTGTTGGGAGTATGTCAGGCCGGGCCTGTGTTTTCCGCTGTCAAGCGAGGGCCGGTGGGGAAGTGTGTTTGACAGTGGTGTTTGACCACTTGTTTCTTTGGAAGATTCTACTGTACTTAGGTTTGGGTGAGTAAACCCACCAATACCTTTACTAGAACACTTCTGTTTCTCAGAACTAACTGAAAAACCTGTTTCCCAAGAATTGCAATGAAGAGACCAAGTTATCCTGCATGTTCGTGTTATGATTCTTATGACCAGGAAATGTTAGTAAATAACTTCATGGCATAGTGTAGCCCTGCTCTCAAATATTCTTCAGTGGCCTCAGCTGAAAACTGGCCAGCCCATTCTGATCAGAAACAACTAGAAACATGACTGGTAAACACCATATTGCCACAGAGGTTCTGTTCAAATTATTCAAATAAGAGCGAGGAATGAAGGTAGCAGGTATGAAAGTCTTATTTGAAAGCAAAGTGAAACATTTCCTATCACAATGGAAATTAGACCACCTATACTGGTTTATAACCTGTGTTGCATTACTAAACCTGAACCGTTAGTGAGTTATAGTTATGACATAGTGTACAGTCCGTTGACTTACGGCCGTGGAATGTGATTTTAAAAAAAACATTTTATTGCTTATTTTTTAAAATGCACATTGCAGAATTTAGAGAGAAAGAGACATCGTGCTACAGCTTACTCTTATGGTGTTAAGAACATTATGTAATTTTATAGGCTTAGGTATGTGTATGCAGATACACATATATACATGCTTAAATATATGTATTAAGAGAGAAAAATAATAAAGTAAACCATAAGTAATAAAAATGTTAATGTGTTATGAGAGGAATCTTTTAAATTTTCTACAATCTAACATTACGTAAAAATGTTAAGGTAACTTCCAGGATGACAAAAAAATAACTTTGATGGAACTGGACGTAGTCTCCAGACATTGAGCAGTGGATTTATAACAGACATTTCCACAGCGGGGCTGACTTCAGTTCGTGATTTTTAGTATTAGCTTTTTTCAATGACTGATAATAAATCTGACCAAAAATTTAACCAGAAGATGTAATAGGAGCTGCAAGAGCCCACAGAAAGGTGTGCGTGAAGAAATGCACGCACTCTGATAAATTCCAGTGAAATGTCAGCCTTTCTTTCAGGCCTGAAGCACTTTTTCATGTGATGTGCCAAAGTTGTTGCATTACATGTTTGTGTTGCTCATTTTGCTTTTAAAGTATGGGCTTGGAGAAAAGAAGGGAGATTCAAATACTTCTTTGTCTTGTAGCATCATGTCTTACTTAGAACCTCCTGTGTGTATGTAGGAGGCAGATCTTAGGAATGGGAAATATATTGCTCTTTGCTCTAGAGATTGTTAGAAAATTTCCTTAAATAGTCACTGCAGACTTCCACTGAGGAGTCATGCTTCCTAATACCTTTAAAGTACAGGTTAATGTGTGACCTCCGCCACTCCTTAGTAAGCCATCACAGAGGACTAGGACGTATACCCCAAGCACCCACCTTGCTGGTGGATGGACAGCAGCTTGGGTGTCAGGGTGACTGAGAAGAGCGTGGTGATGGGCGGGGGATCTGTCCTGGGTACCCGAGGGCACAGATGTCCAAGGAATGCATGCCATTTGATATCTTCATAGTGGAATCAATGGCTCTTAACCCAGGACCATCCCTAGGGGGCTCTGGAAATGTGGAAGCATTTTTTTCCGTTTTGTTTTATTATGGAAGCACTTTTGTCACACGAGCGAGGGTTGACTGCACATTTCACAGCACAGCTGGACTACTCCCCATGCTGCAGCGCAGGGCTCACTTTTCCCACTCAGAAGTGTGTCCACATCTCGCTGTGACCTGCGGTCTGTTCCAGAGCAGGCTTCTGAGTCTGTGACTCTGTTGTGGTCCCTCGGTTAAATGTGACCCTGAGGCTTTTTCCCTGATGCCCAGGAGTCAGTGGTTGTCCCTTGGCAGTGTTTACTGGCAGAGCGGCCAGCCTGTTCTGTCCAGCAAGGGGCAGGGAGGCCTGTGGAGGACGACCTGACCCCCACCATCCCTTGCTTTGCTGTCGCTGCTCCAGGCTGAGGTTTACCTTCTGTGATGATCAAGGATTCGGACTATTGTCTGCTCTCCATTCATAAACTCTAAGCCCTCAGAGAATACTGAAACAGGGTGGTTACACTGCTGGACCGAGTCTACCTGCTCTCCCCCCGGAAGCCAGTGCTCGGGAGATGAGGGTTGGTAGAAGGAAGTCAGGGTTATGCAAAGGCCGTGACATTGGAGGGACATGTCATCCTTAAAACTCCTTGTTGGAGAACCCAGGTGCCCCAACGAGAGGAAAAGGAGACGGATGAGGCGAAAGCCAGGAAGGCTACACGCTGAGCAAGTCTTCCTCCCCCAGAGCTACACGCTGAGCAGGTCTTCCTCCCCCAGAGCTACACGCTGAGCAGGTCTTCCTCCCCCAAGCATGGACTGTACTCACTTCTGTTCCTTTCCTCTGGCTCAGTATCACAACTGACCTTGACCTGCTGGGACTGGTCACAAACATTTCACTTTGCTGCAAGTTAAACGCCACAGTGGTTCCCACGCTTTGAGCCGATCGGTGCACAGAATAAAGGGTGAGGAGGAGATTTACACCTCCCAGTGTTACCAAACGCCAGCAGGTGTTTAGGGTTCTGTTACTCTAAAGAAAAACAGTTTAGCAGGGTAACATCTTAATCACTTAGGCAAGTGTTTTAGGATTTATGCCAGCGCAGAGGGGAAGCGAAAGTCACCTGCCAAGGACAGCTTCCCCTGGGATGGCTGCTGTCACAGTGAGGTGGTGGGGAGGCAGAGCTTTGCTGTGGATGAGGGTGTGCAGGATCTCCCGGCAAGGTTTTCGTTGGTGGTGGTGGTGGTTTGTTTTACTGTTCAGAGATAGTTTAACGATTCCATTTCCAGACACAGTATTTCCCATCAGTTTTTAAAAGCTGTTTACAAAAGTGTTGTTTTTAGTTGAGCTTTCCTTCCAGAATATGGGGCACAAAGAATGGCAGGGAGCAAGTTGTCACTTAGCCTTTAAACGTACCGCTGGAATCTTTTCAAAAATACCTTTACTTGTAAATTTCTATGGAAAACTTACACATAAAACAGTGAAGAGAAGGCAGTTTTCAACAGTCTCCAGTTAGAACACAAAAAGTGTATCTGAACTTTCCTCAGTGGGAGTTATGACATTCTGTGTGTCAGTCTTTTTTGCGTGTACCCAGCTGAAGTAATTTGGGAGAAGAAAAGGTAACTATCATTACGCTACTCAGAACCCTGTTAATCCTACTCTGTGTGTCAGTGCAGAGTTTGAGGCAGGGGTGGAAGATGCACTTTTCAGAGCCAGGCTTCTTGAGCAGTCTTTCGAAAAAGACAGTACTATTCTCCTCTATGGGAGTTAAGTAGTTAATTAGAACCCCTGCGCGTGTGTCAGGATTGAAAATATTTTGAAGTACTGCTCACTGTTAAAGTTTGATCCTGTCTCTCACCCAAGCTAACTTTGTCGGCTGGGAAGCTATCACCAGCCAGGCTTCCTCAGGCAAGGCAGGGTGGCCAGCTGCACAAGATCTCTACGCCCCATCTCCCACTGGAAGGCAGTGAGCCCTGCGGGCAGGCACACCTCTGCCTGCAGCCGCCCTGACTCCTGCGGAGGCAAGCTCAGAGACTTCTGAAGCCGGGCTTGTTACACACAGGGGTGGAGTTTAGTCCCTGTGCTCTGCCACCGAACTGCATTCCGGCCCTTTTAAACTTTTGTTAGTTGGTAGTGCTAAGGATGGAACCCAGGCCCTCAGACTGAGGGACATCCCCCGTTCTTCTTTTTCAATTTTGAGACAGGATCTCTCTGAGTCGCTGAGTTGGTCGCCCAGGCTGGGCTCAAAGTTGCAGTCTTGTCTCAGCCCCCCGTGCGGGGGGTTACAGACGTGTGCACGCAGGGTCTCTCTCCATGTACTGCCAGGCCGACCTCAAATCTCCCGTCTTCCTGCTTCATCCCCGAGTACCTGGGATGCAAAATGGGGACTTTTTAAAACCCAGATACTCTGACAAAAGGCAGTTCAACTAAAACCTTAACGTTGTGAGGTGTTTTTACGTAAAAATCAAGTGAGAAGGACGATAGCCCTGGACAGAAGCAGCATTATAAAAGTCACATGGTTTTGAATCACTACTAAAAGTGACCACTTAAAACTGACTGGAGCAGTTGAAAATTAAACTCTGCGTCTTCACACCCCTTGGCGTTCCTCCTCTGCCTCGGCCCTTCAGAAGGGTGCTGGCCCTGGCTGGCCTGCCGCCCTCTCGCTCTGCTCCTTCCCCTTCCTGCCTCTTCAGCGGAAGCCGCTGTGAGAACCTCAGGAACAGATGCAGCTCCGGAGGGGGTGAGAAAAGACCTCTGTTCCCCACCAGCTCTGACCACTTCCCGCAGAAGCAGTGGTCGGGCATCTCCCTCTCTCAGCATCGCAGGAGAACCTCCCAGCCTCAGCAAAACACGTTTCCTGGTTCTCCAGGGATGCCAGAGGAATCGAGCTGTCACTTCCAGCTCAATCCACCTTTCGCTGACAGGACAGCACGGAAACCTACGGGAACATGTCCTTGCAGGGAAAGCTGTGAGGGGCAGCTTAGACCCTGTGTTGGTGCAAAGCTCAGTTAAACAAGGTTTGCCGCGAACACCTGTCTTGGAAACACAACCATTTAGGTACAGATGTTTACAGATTAAAGATAAGTTGCAGGAGTGGCTGAGTTCACAAGGACCTGTGGGTTCATAGTACTAGTCTCTGGTTTACACTTATCAAAAGAGTTTACACTTATCAAAAGTTAAAAGCAGATAGAACTCAGATTTCTGCTACAAACACCTTTCTGGAGAGAACTTGCAAGTCAGGGCTCCTTTGACTCCCCAGGGTGCCGCAGAACCACCCCCACCCTGCGTGAGCTCGCTGCGTAGCTCAACATGCGCCGCGTGAGCGTGGGTGTCTGTGTGTGGCTGTTGGTGTGCACCCATGTTCATTGACGTCTCCTCCCCTGGTAGAACAAGCTCCAAGAAGGCAAGAACTTCCTTGGTGCAGTGTACAGTGCTGCGTGGAAGCAGAGAGCAGAACTGTGGGCTCCACGGAACTATGTTGCATGGGTGGATGAGAACATGACTGCTATTACATTTACTTTTTGCTCTTTTTTTTTTGTTTTAGTTGCAGAATTAAGAAAGATCTTTGAACCAAAGAAAAAAGAATTTTTAGAAATGAAAAGGTAAGACATGCCTAGTGTGTTACCAGGAAGAGTTTGGCAAAGCTGTGCAGTGTTCAGTCTCCCTTTGCGCTGATTTCCATGCCTCACTGTGCCTCTCTGGATGTAATGCACAGAAAAGAAAGAATTGCCAGACGCTTGGAAGGAATTGAAAATGACACCCAGCCGGTCCTCTTGCAGAGCTGCACGGGGCTGGTGACACACCGCCTGCTGGAGGAGGACACGCCCAGATACATGCGCGCCTCCGACCCCGCGAGCCCCCACACCGGTGAGCCTGCCTTCCCGCCCAGTGGCCTGGCACCGAGCAGGCTGCCGGGCACGGGTCTCATGCATTTTTCGCTTATCACCTTTTTAACCTAACTGTACAGGAAATGAGGTTTTTTTAAAGTACATTGTGTGTGTATAGTTTTTTAATAAATGTGCCTGTTAAACAACCACACCAAATGATGAGCCCCATTCTCAGCACAGCTGTGGTCCTCCACGCCACAGCAGCGAGAAGCACATAGCACCCCTGGGCATGTGGCTGGTTATGGATGACTGGCTGTGTCCCCCCGGAATGAGACTCCTCAAAGGCAGGCTTGTGTCTGACTCTGAGCACGGCATCTGCTGTCGGACACTTTCCAGACAGGGTTGTTTGGTGGAAGAGTGAATGAGACAGGCGCCCGGCAGCAGGTATGGCGGGTTTAATGCTAATGCCCAGGTGGAATGACCTGGGATGAAGAAGGTTCTTACTGTTACTAAGGCTCTTATATAAATGTAAGGTTCTTACATTTTATACAATGAAATGTCCTATGGAAGTTGTTATAGTGTAAACAAGTTAAATACATTGCACATTGATTTCGTATTAAACAGCATGCTGAACATGACGTCACTTTTCCTTGATTGTGCAGGGTTACGATTAAGGACGTCAGCTGTTCGGCGTGTCCTCCAGGAGGGTGACAGGGTCAGGGCCGGTGTTTCCAGCCCATCTCTGGCTCGGAGGCTCTGTACTGCTGTGGTTTTATAGCCAGTGTTTTTTGTCCCTTCCTCAAACAGGACTGTTGGTCTCATGTCACCCTGGTAGCAGTAGCTCCTAATTTCCTATGGCCAGAAACCTAGAGAATTAAGTTTTTTTGATTGATGTAAATGAAGAATCAAGAATAGTCGGATGAGAATACCAAAATTCATAGGCAGAAGCAAGCCCTGGTATATATGAAGTGTCCAGCTGTGTAGCACAGGGTAACTTAAGCGTCAAATGTTAGAAAGAAAGGAAGAACTGCGTAATACAGTAGTACGAGGGAAGTGTGCCGGCCAGGGCGTGAAGCCCGTGACTCGCTCCTCTCTCCACTTCCTGCCAAACCAGAGGGAAGACCAGTTATTCGTGTGACCGTTTTAGAGAAAGCCTGTAGAAACCCGAGAACATAGGTGCACATCTCACTCCCGTGAGCTGGAAAAAGGCGTTCACGGCACAGAAGCAGTTGGAGAAATTGCCGAATAACCAGATCAGTTGACCTGGTGACTTAACATTTACCTCTGAACTTCAGAGGAAACACACGCATGTCACAACAAAATTAAATGGCGAGTCTGGAAATACTCCTGAAGACGACAAAGGGCTGATATTCCCATCAAAGTTTACATGATCTAGTAAAACTGACGCTATGAGTCAGTGTTACATAGGGCAACACACTTGAGCAGGCATTTCCTAGAAGAAAAAGGTGATGCAAATGGCCGATGACAGACGTGAGAAAATGCATATGTTCTTTTTTCTAATAATCAAGGCTATTGGATAGAATATTGTGAAGTTTAAAAGTATTTCCTTCAAAATAAACTATCCAAATATAAGAGAAAAATTTTTATATAAAACATTAATAACATCAAAAATATTGAGGAAAAAAGAAATAAACTATATAAATGACTGGGAGGAAATATGGAATATATAAAACTGTCAAGTTACTAGTCTAGAGTATGATTATTGGTGGTTTGGCTTTGTGCGTTTTCATGTTAGACCTTTCCTACGTCGTATGTGTGTGCTACAATTAGAAGAAGTCACATATGCATGTATACATATACTTATATACATATATATGTAAAATATCAGATCCTGTAGAACTACAAGCCACAACAGATCACTTTTCAAGTTGTAGCTGTTCCAATATCTATCATTTCTAGAAAATTCTGAGCTTGTCCTTTGACCTTACATATGAAGTATTAAAAGCAAAAACAAAGAAAGAAAAGAAATAAGGAGAGATGAACCGACAGCAAGGGCAGAGGCGCTCTGGTACTGCCGGGGACTGGGCTGTGGCCCTGGCCTTTGCCCTCGGCCCTGCAGACCTGAGCTTGCCCAGCATCCCCGCAGACCACATCAGGCTGTGCAGCAGGGTGAGAGCTGGGCCCTTCCGAGCGTGGCCGTCAGGTGCCAGCCGTGTGGCGTGCTTTCATGTGTGTGATAGTATGAGTCTTTGCTGGACTCTGCATTTTATGCCTGTGCTCTCCTTGCAGGGCGATCAAATGAAGAGGAAGAAACTTCCGGCTCTTCTTTAGAAAAGCAAAGTCGGTCTAAATACTGCACAGAAACCTCAGGCGTCCATGGTGACTCGTCCTGTCGCCCAGGCATCATGGACCCCCACAGTCAGGAGTCCAAAGCCGAAAGGATTGCAAGGTACAAAGCAGAGAGGAGGCGGCAGCTGGCGGAGAAGTACGGGATAGCCCTGGACCCCGAGGAGGACTCTGAGTACTTGTCCCGGTACACCAAGTCCAGGAAGGACCCCGACGCTGTTGAGAAACGGGGAGGAAGAGCTGACCAGCAGGAAGAGTCGAGCACAGACTTGAGTTCTGCCTACTCCAGGCCTGAGACCGTGGGGCTCGGGACCTGTATGGTCGAACCCGAGCACTACGTCCCGCCCCACAGGAGCGGCCTCACTGACAAGGAGGCTCCCCTAGAGGTGGAGAACCAAAGACGGGGGCAGGAGCTGAGTGCCCCCCGCCAAGCCCAGGACCCGACCCCAGCAGCTGAGAGCTCCACGTCCTTCTCATTCCCCGGGCGAGGCTCCTCCTTCACTGAAGTGCCAAGGTCCCCAAAGCAAACCTACAGCCCCGCGCTTCAGCAGTCAGCGTCCCCAAGCCACTCCGTGGGGGACCCGGAGGCGCGATCCAGGTAAGCACACGGCCTGCGCCGCGCAGCCTGAGCCCGGGAAACCCCCGCCTGGTTTCTCTTTGCCTTGTGTGTGGTAGGGTTTGCCTACGGGTATTCTGTGCAGGCCTCGGTTCCCTGGGGGAGTCATCTTGGTGTGAGGGTGATTTCTGCAACGTCAAACAGGTCCTACCAAAGCAAGAAACCTCACCTTCTTTGTGTGCGTTTCGAAAGTAACAAACTAAAACGGATACGATGGGGACACTTTTGCGGATGCCCCATGCCGGGACGGGACCCTTCTTTTACTGCGTTTCTCACTTGCCTCTCATGATCTATTTTTGTTTGTTCCTGTGTAATCACACCCAAGACTCAGGGTTTAGGGTGAGGGCGTGGGTTCTTGATGTTTAGGGTCACAAGGCAAAAGAAGCCACACTAGCCAGGAAAGGGTCTGAGTCCAGGGTACAGAGTGTGACTGTAAAGTACAATGGGTATAATCACCATCCAGTTACACAGCTGTGTAAACACACCAAGAGACAGCTGTGTGTAAGGATATCTTACTAATGCAAAGGCGAGCCATTGCCGGCCACAGAGGCACCCACCTGTGACCCTAGCTGCTCCGGAGACTGAGGCAGGAGAATCAAGACTTCAAGGCCGGCCTGGGAAACCCAGCAAGACCCTATTAAGAAAACAAGTCAGCCGTGAAGAGAACGGAAAGGATCCACCAAAGACGAGAACAGCTCCCATTTGGAAAAACCAGAAAGTCAAATGCCAGGAAAGAATATGTGTTTCCAAACTTACACTGAAAAATGTGCTGATCCTATTTAAAGACTAATTTACCTAAACATCTTGCTGAGAGGTAACCAGGGACTGGGTTTAAATAATTGTCTAGGTAGATTCCTAAGTGTATTTTTTTTTTTTCAGTTTAAATAAACAGTTGCTTCAGAGGTGAAATGAAAAGGCTGACCACCTAAGGTCAAACCAGTTTGTTCTTGGAAGCAATCATACATATATGGAAAGTATATCTCTATACCATGTACATCAGTTCTTTTTTTTTCCCATGTACTTGATCATGTGGACTAAAATATTTAGACATTGACCTCTAAGATAATGAAATACTGCAGAGGCCAAGACTGTGTTTTGAGGACCCTTGTCCAACCCTGAGACACAAGCACTTGAAGTGAAAGGACTGTGACCTTTGTCTCCTGTTCTGAAAGGAGGTCTTTTGTTTGGGAAATTCTCATTTCACAGTAGAAATAGTGTTCTGGGTTTAGTTATTCTGTATTAAAGGAAATGCTTTATGTGTTTTGTGAGTACAACAAAGAAACCTAACAGGTCCGGGTTTAAAAAGAATATGACAAGTATACCATTACCATCGGTTAAAAGAAGCATCTAATTTCAGATTGCCGTACAATGACAGCAGTTCATTGCCACACCGTCCAGATTTGTCACCTAGATTATGTGGAATAGAGAGAATCACAGTAAGATTTTTGAGTTAGCTGTAAAGAACACTTTGTTGAATATTCCCAGTAAAAACTAGGACACTTGATAATTTTATGTGGGTTAAAATACTAAGATTTGAAAGTGTATGTAATATCTATATATGTTGTCAGACGTAGGAAAAGCATCACTGACTTAGCCGAGGAGCAATGCAGGGTCGTTCCTACCATTTTTTTTTTTTTTTTTTTTTTGAGGAGCTGTGTTACCTAAAAGGTTTGGAAGTCCCACTTCCCTTTACAGTGCTTTACTCCCGTGAAGAGCGGGTGGGAAGGATTCAGAACCTGTGAAAGCATTTGCTTTATTTTATGAAGCCAGCCGAGGTGTGCCATCAGGTGTGCCATATGACCCACTGGCAAAGAAACACAAATCGCGTCTGATAGATTAGGGAAATGCCAGGGCCTGTTTACATGAGGAAGATGGAATAAAGTGTGACAAGTGTGAGATTTTCCAAAATTAAATTGTACTTTGTGGTGATTACTCATTCAGCTTGCAAAGATGGCTTTAAAGTGGATTAGCACACTGCTTCGATGTCCTTCACCTAGAGCCAGGGAATTCAAATTTCAGGAAGTCAGGCTTATGTGGTTTCCATTTGGGAGGAAGACAGGCAAAAAAATAAATAAATAAATAAACAAAATACCTTTATAACTTAAAACAGTAACAAAGGAAACCGTGATGCCTTGAACAACCAAAGAAGAAAGTGTTAATGTCGTCTGGCATGGAAATGTGTAGCAGGAAAGCTTAAGTCGGTTAAGCGGTGAGGAGGAACGCGCCTACAAATAAAGTAACCGAATGATCTCATTGCTGTGTCTCTTTCGTGGATTGGTTCTCCTCGGAAGTGGAGTATTTTTCTCGCTTCTCGTCACCTTGCTCTGTCCAGCTACCAAGCCGTTAAATCTCTGAATTCTCTCATTTCCATTTATCGTTTTATTCCATGCTCACTTGTAAGGACCTGCTTTCTTGCATTAATTAAATATTAATTAATGGAAATTCAGGGACACCGTAGGTGGATACCCAAGCACAGAGGGCCCTCTGTTCCCTGACATCTGTACACACCTGGGTGTGGGTACAGACTCGTCTGAGTTCTTATACTTCATTGTTCTTTTCTATTTTTAAATCATTATTGGTTAAGTAGCAGTTGTTAAGGCAATATGTACCTGAGTAAGGAGTTTGTTTTGGAATTATTTAATATTCCACTTATCTAATGAATGAGTTTTTTTAAAACTTAATTAGGGCTGGGGATGTGGCTCAGTGGTAGAGCTCTTGCCTTGCATGCAGGAAATCCTAGGTTCGACCCCCAGCACCACACACACACACAATTTAACATTTGGTGGATGGATATTATGGTGTTTTCAGCTCAGAAATCCTGTTACTAGTTGCACTGGAATTCAGATGAACACATTGTTCAAAGAAAAACTAAGAATATTCATTGCAACCAAATAGAGCAGCCTAAGGCAATCCCCTGCCCTCGCTCCCACTCTTCCAAACCTAGTGTTAGACTTTCAGAGCCTCTTCTCTAGAGAGGTGGTGTTACCAAGATGAACCACTCTTTGTAAATTTAACCCCTATGGATTATTCAAGTTTTGAAAAATCTGAACTGCCACTACTAGAAATCTTGAATCCAAAGCTTTTGTTAAAATTGCTATTTTCTGCAACTCGTATTTCAGAAAAAGTGGGGGGAAAAAAAAACAGGAAATGGACCATATTTATTACTTATGTGGGTGGAGCAACTCACTGCCCGGGGTCCCCTGCCGCTGTTGCTGACCATCACCTGTCACCATCCGCCATGGACGCTAGCCAGCACGGAGGAGACCGCCTGGGAGCTCACGCCTTATTTCTAGAGCAGTGATCCTGCACCACTATTTCTAGAGTGGGGCCAGCTCTTGAGCACCCTTGGTCCTTCTTTCCTCTTCGTTACTCTACTGCAACCCCTCAGCACGCCTTCATTCACTTAGCAGATTGCATCACGAGTGCTCAGAACGTGACTGCAGGGATTTCACGGAGAGCAAATGCTGGGATGTACCTTGGACAGTTGCCTTTGGTGGATGCTACGGGGCAGAGGTGCCTTTGGGCGTCAGGGATGTGTGAATCCTGGCTTCTCTTGCTGAAGGGTTTGGATGACCAGGGTGATGATGCCTGATTGACCCTTATTATTCTCAGCGCTTATTTAGCGCAGTATGGTGCGTAAAGTAGGAGCTCGTGCACGTTTGCCAAATGAGCCTGAGTTAGTATTTCTCTCTGCCATATCAGCTGCATTACTCAGTGATGAAAGGAAAGTGCGGAGCAGCTCAGGAAGAGGTTGCGGGGTTCCTTCCAGAGCGAAGCTCCTCTGGTACACTGTAAGATGTAGACCGAGCCACCAAGAGACGCAGAGCTTCGGCGAGGCGCTTGCTGCTTACTTCTGATAGCACTTGCCCAACTCCTGACGAGTAGTTTGAGTCTGAGGCGGGCTCCAGAGCCTCAGGCTCTCGCAGTTCTGTGTCCCTGCACTGATAAGGGTCTCCGCAGGACAGCGCAGTGCATGGCCTGCGGCCTCCTGTGTCAGCTCCTGTCTCAACCCTGCTCCAGGAGCCCGAGCAGAGCGCTAGGCCACAGAACGCACATCCACCTTGGGTGCCTCTCGTGCACCTGACAGACTTCTGTTCTTGCAGTGCACTCATTCTCACCTTTAAGTCCCTGGACCTCCAAACAACCGCACCTTCATCTAACAACTTTTCCTGTTAATACACAGTTAAATGCTCTCTACTTTTTTAAAAATTCTGTTCTCCCTAGTAAGTGGCAGTTCCTATTCATTAAGTTAAACATGAATACATTGCTGTATAGCAGCTAAACCTTTAAATGTGGACCAGATTCTAAACGTGAGATTTTTGTCTGGGAGCCTGCGCTCCTGTGCGTTTGTGCCCTTGTGCACATATGCGAACGGCAAATTTTTCCCTACACAGGCAACTCCGAGTAAATTAACCGCTAATTTTAATGAGATGCGGCAGGTAATAGCCATTCCTCTTAAGCTGAATAACGTGTTGTCATTGGACATTTTGTGTGAAATGGGACACCCTATGATGAAGATAATTTTGCTGCAGAAGCACATTTTTGCCTGTCAACTCTAAGGAGTTCTAGCAAGCTAAAGGTTGTCATTATGTACCTCAGGCAACAACTACCGGCCTCTGTGAAAACTGATGCTGGGTTCCTACTTCCCCTTAAGAGAATTCTCCGCCAGCGTTTGCCACATCAAAAACCATTCTGCTTCACCTGAAGCCGCCACTTCCTTATTCTGATCTCCAGGAACCCTACGACCCTCTTCTAGTGAGGTTGCCTCTGCCCTCTGTGGACCTGGCTCGCCTCAGGCTCTCAGAGCACATGCTGTACATCAGAGAACTTTAGACCCTTGGAGCCAGAAGTTAGCCTGGAGATTATTTGAAGAATCTCTTTTATACATTAAAAAATGAAAGCTCTAAAAAGTAACTTGGTTGAGGCCATAGAACTATGTTAATAAGAGTGACATCTTCATTAACCATCCCTCCCTTCACTCA